AAATTATATAGTCACACAACATAAATTTGAGATCGTCACAAAGTGATAAATGTGATAAAGAGAAATTCCACCATGCTATTACAATATACATATCTGTATGATTTATCAGATAATTAGATAATATAAGCATGTGACCAATCATTAAAAAAAGAGATGATGATAATTAATCATTTTTTTAAAGCATCTTTGTACTTGATATACGGAAATTCTGAAGAGGGCGAAGCTCTCAAAGAATTAGCCCTCCTGCGGAGGGCGTGTTTCCCCGCACAGGTGAAAGAAAAATTTTATATATATTACACTTTTTAGATGGGTTTTTTAGCAACATTGTATATTATTATACATATGAGATGTTTTTATGCAGTTAATTGTATGAAAAACATATTAAGACGCAATTAAAAATTGAGATTGATTCAATGCTAAATTAATTTTGACAACATGTATATTATATATTGCTCTTTTTTTTCTTTTTTTTTTTTTTTAATAGGAATCGTGAATGTTTATCGGGGAAGAGAGTAAGATTAGATAATTAACAATCTGTTTGTATGGATGTTGTAGAGGTAATGTAAATAGAAACAAATTAATTATTATATTTGTTTAATTTATTATCAGAAAAATCATTGTTAATGCGTAATTAAAATACTCTAATAATTGAAATTTAAGTAAACTGCACTAATACATATAAGTCTGTCATTTATTTATGTTGTCAAGTACTTTAAACAATTAATTGCTGCATTCAACTTATTGAGTTTATATCAATACAAACAAAGAAAAATGGTTTAAATTGTATAATTTATTTTTATTCGGTAATGAATATAAAAAGTAATTATTCTGTCTGTCAATTTGTGTAATGTGCAAATTCTGTTTGTTAATTTTTATCAGTTATGGCAACTTAGAGTATGACAAAAAAGATGTTTTTACAAGTTTTTTTTCATCTTGCATACAGTCACAGAAAAAAACAAGTAATTTATAATTATTTCCTAACTGTAAAGAAAAGTTTAAATCTATTCTTAATTGTCCTTGTTCCATTTTGGCTAATAAAAATTCAATCCTTAAATTTAATATTTAAAACTTGTAAATTTTTTAATTTTAATCTAAAATTTTTGAAAAACAAAAAATGAACAACCAAATATTTTTCAACCAATTTGCTGCTTCTTATACCACCACCACTATCGCCGCTACTGCTCCCACTGCCACCACTCATTCTCGTACTTGTACTCGCCGGTCAGTAACAATGCGAGACCAATTAAATGAACATTTGGAGAGAATAGTAGCATTAGAAAGACAATTTCAACAACAACAACATCAACAATCAACATTGGAGCAACAACAACAAAAACATACCTCCAGTGAAGATGATATCATGGTTCTTAATGAACCAACACTTGCACCTGGAGAAAAAAAACACATAATTGTAGTCCATGATGAATCTATCTTCTATGCCAATGATGGCAAAAAAACTTTTTGGGGACCAACAGCTCATGTTCCTTTAAGAAAAAAAGGAATGGATTCAAGTCTTCATATTAGTGATTTTTTAACTGAGGCAAAAGGACGATTAAAATTCGAAGAAGAGGCAGCCTGTGTTATGATAAAGCCTGGAGTAAACCGTGATGGATGGTGGGCTTCAGAAGATCTTGTCGAACAGATTGAAAAAAAAGCAATTCAGATGCAGTTGGTGTTTTTGCATTTGACAATGCTACCAGCCATTCATGCTTTAATTGCTACGAGATTGAACCTTGGACCTGGTGGTAAATACACCTTTAAAGACGGCATTTTACCTAATGGACAAACTCAAAAAATGCATTTAGAAGATGGAAGGCAAGTATGCAAGGTATTCTTGGAGATTTATTGATGCCTATCGTAAAGGATTGAGTGGTGCCCGTGCCTTATATGCTGTAAAGAAATATAAATGTTGTAATAGAAGAATAGTATATAATAATGTAATAGTATAATATATACATATATATATAATAAATAAAATTTTAATCTTTAATTTTTTTAAATTACACCAAAATCACGTGAAGACCATTTTGAAATCGCATTTTTTGAAATTTGAGCACGTGGCACAGCAATAGGAGGTCTTTAGACCGAGCCAACTATACCAGGAGTTCTCCAAACATGTCCTGGTCCATCATTTTTATAGATTGTAAATCTACTTTCATCACTCCAAATGATAGATTTCCATTTTCTAACCGTCCAACTCCTTCTCCCAAGACACCAATTTAATCGATTGGTTCTTTGTTGGTCATTTAAAAGTGGCTTTGCTGCAGGAACACGAGAAAAAATATTTAATTCATGTAATGTTCTTCTAATAGTCTTAGTTGAAACATCACTTTGTTTTTTCGTTAAATTTGTTTTTTATTTGCTCAGCAGACTTTCGATTATTTCGCTTTAAAATTTTTTTTAATGTTTTTTGATTTTCATTGTTGATTAAGTTTGGACGACCACTTCGCTGCTTTGTAGCAAGACCTTCACCATCAATATGTTTTTTAATAGTACGAGATATTGTTGTTCCATGAATATCAAGAATTTTGGCTATTTTGGAAATGGGTTCATTATTTTTGTAAAGAAAAATAATTTCGCTACGTTGAATCCAACATTTTTTAATTTAATTTTTTTTAAATTTTCAAAAATATTTATTAAAAATC